AAAAAAAAAAAAAGTAATTTATTACCCATTTTTTTGCTTTATTTACTTATAAAGCTTATAAGTCTTTCTCTTTCATTGCAAGTGCCCTTTATTTCAACTTTATTAGTGTAAAATATTGGGTTTTTATGAACTAACCCAGGAACATATTGAGCATTTATGAGTTTATTTCTATATGAAAATTTGAGTCCCCAAAGACAGCCACTTACTAATGAACCACACAGCTTAAGTAGGAAACTCCCCATTTCTTTATATCTGTAGGCCTTTGTTAATTTATGAAATTATGGTGCCAAGACAGAGATAAAATTGTACTTAATATAATTTGTGTTATGTTTTACTATATCTCTGATTGTTTGAAAATTATTAATTCATGAATATCAAATAGGGCATTTACCCTATCTAACCCCTACTCCTCTTTGTTGAAAAAAATATAATAAATGGTGTATGTGTCAATTAATGATACTTATTTGTTAATCATTGTCAGACATTTGCTCTGTGCTAAGTAAGCTAAAGGAGACAATAGCTTCAATCACCATGGTTAAGAAGTGAACTTCTCAGTCCTTCTGCACGTGGTGTCTTTTCCTTGTTAAAGGTGTTGTGTGTGTTACTTGCAGAAGGTTTCTGGGGAAATAATTCCAAGTAATAAGCATTGTAGAAGGAAATTATGTTTGCAAAATTTTAAGTGTCATAGTTGTTTTATACTTATGAAAACATACAAATTACCAAAGCATCATGAATTTATTATACTTTTTAGTACTTCATTATATTGTCATTTTGTGGTTTGGTGTTATTTATATACAGCATAAAATAGCACTTTGAGTGTTTTAATCAAATTATGACTCAAATCCTTGCCATTTTCCTTTACGAGTAAGCAGCTCTTAATTTTTCAGTGTGATTTTCCTAGCAGTAACAGTCTAGGAGATACAGAACCTGTTTTGTAGCCTGAATCAATTTATTTGCCCTTTCAGGGCCTCAATCGCTTCGTTTGCAAAATGAAATATTTAAACCAGGTGTTTTTGTAAAGTTGTTTGCTGACATAAGACTCTACTTTCTCGTGGAGCCCTTTATCTGGATCGAAGGGAAATCAGTGAAAAGAATATCGTTACTTAACAGTAAAGTAAACCTTCTTGAAACTCATTTTTTTCTGCTGAGCTTAAGAATATGAATTTATTTTATAGTGACTTTCTTGATATTGTTCAATTTTGTGATTTTAATTTGTGGTAATTGTGGAAAATGAAATAACTTTATCCTTTTTTTTTTTAATTAAAAACCATAATCCTTTACTATTTGCCTTTTCTTGGACTTGTTTGTAGTAATTCATAATGGTTTTTGTTTTTTGTTTTTCCCCTAAGCGACATTGATGTTTGGGTCCCAGAACCAGACCACTCAGAAGTCCCTGCTGAATGGTGGGATTTTGATGCCGATAAGTCACTCCTCATTGGGGTTTTTAAGCATGGTAAGTGCAAAGTAAGATACACAGTCTTTTTCTCTGTATGGTATAATTGACGTTCTGAGTTTGTGGATTTCCACTTACAGCTTTATTCTAGTTACACCCGTGTTACTACATATATTATATAAAGCATGCACGCCCATGCTGTCTGTCAGTGACTGCATTTCCTCATGAAAAGAGTGGCATATGCCTCTTGCCCGTCCTAGACATTAGCCTCCCGTAACTCCGCCTCTCAGGAAGAGTTCTTATGTGAAGTGTGTAATGTGTGTGTGATGAGTTTTTCTTTTTTTTTTTTTCATTTTAACTGATACATTTAAACTTTCAAATATACATATTACCAGATCATATAATATTTGTATTTCTAGAAAACATGCTTAACCTGTGTTATTTTAATATATGGTTTCTTTAGGATTATCAGCCATCATAAATATGAGAGGTGCTTGTATTTATACAGCTTTCTTTTTATTCTTTTTACTTTCATATCTGGTGATCCCTCCAGGTTATGAGAAATATAACACTATCCGAGCAGACCCAGCACTGTGCTTCCTGGAAAGAGTGGGGAAACCTGATGAGAAAGCAGTTGCTGCGGAACAGAGGGCGAATGATTATATGGACGGGTTCGTGCATCTCAGTCATGCATTCTCCTTATGTCTGTCAGCATCAGCACATTCTGTGTCCCTGCGTTTATCTCAGATAATGGAGTAGTAAGACAACTGGAGTGCACAGTCTAAAAGAGCTAATGATCAGGGAAGAGACTGGATCTGGCCCACACCCGTTCTTTCGATGAGTTCTTCATTTTCCCATTAATGGTCACGGCCACTGAGGCCATAAAATTTTGGGGGCATAAGAAGGAAGAATAAAGCTACAACATTACAATTAAAGAGAAATAGGAGGTTTATTATACCAGTTATAAGGCCTTTATTATCTTTCTTTTCTTACCAAAAGAGGGAAGGAAAACACTATATTAAGGTTAATAATCCCACATTTAAAAGTGAACTTGGGCATAAGAGTAAATTAAAACTAACTCTCTTCTGACTTGTCATTTAACAGCCTTAATGCTATGGTATGGGTTCCTCTGACTAGAGAACAGAATTTAGGCTGAGAATAAAACACTAAAAAGTCCTTCCAGCAAAGCAAGACTCTATTTGTTTATCTTGTGAAGATAAATTTTAAGTCCACTACAATTATAACGTTTGTTGGTATTTTAACAGGGATATAGAAGACCCAGAATACAAACCTGCCCCAGCTCTCTTTAAAGATGATATAGAGGTATGCTCCAAATCATATTTTCACATCTTCAATTTTAGTTATGCTGTGGTGTCTTTGTTTGCTTTTTCTTTTGTTTGTTTTTCCTTCATGTTTTCATTATACATAATTATGTTCCTTAGAAGATGAACTAAGTTAATGATCAACTTAGCTTGACAAACATCATAAATAATCATTCCGAATTTGCCTGATCTCCCCTTCTAGACAAGTTGGAGGCTGGTTCAGACATGTGGATAATATCAGGCTTGCACACATGCTTCTCTCAGGAAATAAGAAACACAGTGTCCAGGGCAGAATCCCAAAGCAGAGTAAGAACTAGATACTAAATATGCACAGAAGACATAGAAACTTACCTCTATAAACAGGTGTGAAATAGAGGGTGGAGCCTAGAGGAATTATGAGCTGCTAAGGCATAATTCTAAGTTCTTTGTTTATATTAAATCAAAAGGAAGGAGAGGAGTTGCTTGAAGATGCAGAAAATAACCCATGGAGTTGGGGAAGTGATGTTAAGAGTGATGAGGAACTTCTGTAGTATTTATGAGAGCATGGTAAAATACGAGGTGATGCTTTAGCTGTCAGGCAGGGTTTGCTGATCCTGACAGCCGCGGGACGTGGGTATTGGTGTTCTATATGAGATCCAGAGATGAGGGTTAGGCTGGTGTGTGTCAGGAAGAACTGCAATCCTGTGTAAAGTCAGAACCCTCAAAACGCAGACCGGTCTTAACAAACAGCACAGGGACTACAAGGAAATTTATCTTAGAATGGACTCTCAGTACGGAAAAAATTGTCACCCCGGAGAATTCATAGCCATAGTCCTGCGTTCTCATGAGTTTATGGCTTGATGCTTCTACTTCATCTGCATGTTCCAGGAACACTCAGGCCAAAAATGTAATATTAAAAGGGCTGAGTAATGAAGATAAAGCCCTCCCTAAAATGAGGTCAAAATCCAAAAATTCAAATTATATGACGAACAAATTACCATAAGTGATTTTTAGCCAGTACAACAGAGAACAAGACTAGACCTCTAAGTATGTCTGGTGATTAATCTATTGAAATAAGTAAAGAAGTAAAGTTTTTAAATGATTAAAGACATTAAAGAAAGAACCAGGAACAAAAGAAAGGTAAGATAAGATTTTAAAAGACTAAGGACATATGAAAAAGAATTACGTAACTTTGGAAGTGGAAAACACAGTCATTGATATTTAAAACTCAACAAATAGGTTAAACATTTGTCTAGAGAAGTAGTTTAGACACAGTTCGTGAGAAATGACTTAGAAAATATATGTGAGGAAATTATCCATAGTGAGCATGATGAATCACTTTGGGCCAATCTGGAGAGAGAAACCACATAGTAATTTGAACAGGGAAAGTTTAATGTACAGGATTATTGACGATAATGGGGGCATTAAATTACTGAGGGATTGGCTAGTAAGAAGTTAAAGAACTAACAAATAAAGGAATGGCCACTACTCTTAGGGCTGACAGAGCACCCAGGAAGGAGCCCATCCCCATGAGGGCTGAAACCCTCGCCTTTTGGGGGATGGAGGGGCCTGGCCACTGCTCACTGGATGGCAGAAAAGTTCCTGTGCTGCCACATTGGTGTAACTTGGAGTAAACCCCACCTTCTAGGGTTGCCAAGGAAGCTTTCATGGGGAAGCGTCTTACTGGAGCTACCCCATTGCAAAACCACCCAAGGGGGAGGTCTCTAGGGAAAACTGCTGGCCAGCAGGTGCTAAAGAAGCTACCTGAACTCCAGGAGCTGGCACTGGGGAGCTGGCAACGGAGGAGTTCCCCAGAATCAGGAAATGAACCCCCTTTCCTCCTACAGCGTCTCAAGCTCCCACTACTGACAAAACTTAACACCATGCTGGCTGGCTAAGAGAAGATATTTAAAGTCCACATCTATTTTCTTACGGCTAGCACAAAATAACCAGCATAAAGGAATATATGAAAAACTTGTTAGAGACAAAGAGAATAGCATGATAATGTCTGGCATATGTATCACAGGGATTCCAGAAGGAGAGATTAGAGAGCATAAGGGAGAATCCCTATTTTAAGACAGATCAGCTGAGGGTTTTTCAGAACTTGATGAGAGACATGAATCCTGAGATTCAAGAAATAATGTGACTCTTGGCAGGACAAATAAAACTAAATCCACTCTAAGAAATATCCCGGTGAAACTGCAGATAGACCAAACAAAGAGAAGATGTTAAAAACAACCAGAGAAAAAAGGACCTGCTGATCCTTCTAATGTTAGGCTTTTCTAAAACAGCAATACAAACTAGTAGTCATGGGAATAAAATCGCCAAAGTTATGGATATGTTAAATTTTTGATAATGTTGGGATATCTAATTAAAGATACTCTGTTGACAGATAAAAATTAGGTATACAGCACAAGCAAACTGTTCAAGGCTGGAAAAGAAGATTTCACGTTTGTCTGATAATGAAATATGAGAATGAATAAATTATGAGAGTTGGTATAGAGAACAAAAAAAAACAGTTTTAAGTAAAACCTGAGGCATATTTACAATTAGAGGAAGAGTGGAGGAAAAGGAACTGGCCTAAAAGTAATCTTAGAATAGGAAATAGTTTTAGTAATGACTGGTCAAAGGCAATAGAGAAGTATAAAAGGGTGGGAACTTAGAACAAGAAATGATCATTTTTATTTTTGCGAAATTAATCTTAAAAGTTCTCTATTACAAAGAAGTTTGATTCTCTTCTTATTTTGACCCAATTACCTTGTGACAAATTTCTATTTTCTTTTAAAAGGATGATGTTTCCTCGCCAGGAGATCTTGTTATAGCAGATGGAGGTGAATTGCATTTATTTCTTTACTTAGTATTATTTGAAAGTAACATTCTCATGATACCATTGAGACCAAACAACTAATAAATTTTTATAATGTTTCAAATGTGTATGAAATTTTTGTTACATACTGTTTTAATCATTATGGGACATACTATTGGGTTGTCGGAAAAGTCATGACGTGTTTTTGCAACGAAAAACATAGAAAAAATGCGTCATGACTTTTCCGACAACCCAATAGTTGATTGGGAATTGAACAATATTTTTAGTTGTTGCAAATCTTTATGCAGTGACTCGGTAAGCTTTTATAGAATAGAAGAGTTGATGATTTTATGGCTTGATTATTAAAATTGTACGTGAGATTTCATCATTACAGAGTTAATTCAATAATCCATTCAGCTTATTAGTTCCCTATCACATTAGGAACCATTCTGTATCACTCAGTTTCTACAAACCTTTTCTGTCCAGGGTGTTGTACTTCTTTCTGACACCAAGACAGGGAAGTACTGTCACTAAAGTACACTCACGCCCTCCTGGGAACAAAGGGGAGCAGTGCCTCACTCTTTCACAGTTCAACTAAGAATGAAAGAGTAGTTTTTGCTTAGCATGAGTGATTACTACTTGATTATGGCGTATGGAAGTATAATATTCCACCCTGGAGATGGAGAGCTAGGTCCTGCACTATATGGGGTATATAGAAGCCTAAAAGTTTACAGCATTGCCATATTGAATTTTTATAAATATATGTTCTTCCCTAATGATTTTTTAAACATTTTTATTCTAATTAAATTGAAATAAATTTAATATAGAACACATCAATTAGAAGAGTTTACAGTATTCAACTTCTCATGGATTCCAGTTTGACTTTTAATTTCTGTAAGTTAAAGCATTGAGTATTTGTCAGACCTGAAAATGCAAGAGTTATATTTTCTGTGCATGCAAAGTTCTCTTTTAATAGATAACATTGTGGTTCTTTATTCCACCATGACCTACTTACTTTGAGTTCCTCTTAAAGTTTGTTGTAATGTTTTTAGAGCTGTACTTAAAACTTTTATGATGAGAGATTAGTTTGGTTTGGTTTTTTACGTAATGAGATTGAAAAAAAAATGTTTTAAACTAGGGAAATTATGCTGCTTTTGTAAGGTTCGTTACAGTATGTTTAGCTTTTAATTTTGTTTCTTAGTTTTTTTTCAATTGACATGAGTATCTTTAAATATAGATGGTCAGCTGATGGAAGGTGATAAAGTGTATTGGCCAACTCAGTCAGCTTTAACCACACGCTTGAGGCGCCTCATCACTGCATATCAGCGTACCAATAAAAACAGACAAGTCCAGCAGATACAACCTACTTTCTCAGTGCCTGCCAGTGTAATGCAGCCTCTTTATGAAGAAGCCACTCTTAATCCTAAAATGGCAGCCAAGATAGAAAGACAGCAGAGGTAAGACACTAGCAATATATTTTCAATATATAGTATCTAAACATAGTGGTTCATTCTGAAGGCTGTTAGGGTGTGATTCATGAGTTTGTGAAAAACATATCTAGATGGAGAAGTTGTTCAAAATAAAATGCTTTATGCACATGTGCATATATACATACTCACACATACTTGTATATACACAGAAATATGGTAAAAGTAATAAATTTTTGCATTTTATAGGTACTAGCCATATTTCATATTTTAACCCTTTTGTCATGTTTATGAACCGTGAGGTATGAAAGAAATGAAGGTACAGAGTAAACTCAATAATTAAATTATCAGGCCGGCCGAGTGGCGTGTTGGTTAAGAGTTGGCTGGGGACGCCAGATCTGAGCAGCAGGGCCCTGGTTTGGATCCCACATTAGGGCCAATGACGCTGTGCCCTCCACAGCTAAGATGATGAAAAACAGCTTGACCTGGAGTTGGGCCGCCGTGAGCACCGTCCAATGGCCGGCAAGCGACTGTGTCACCCGGGAAGAGCGCAGTGATCACAATACCAACATGGGCCAGTGAAGCAACATCCTCCACAACTAGACTGAAGAACAAAAGGACAGCAACTTGTCTGTTCCCATTCCCCGATTCCCCAGCGCTGTTCCCCTCCCCCAAATCCCCAATAAAATCTTCAAAAAAATTTAAATTATCAATGAAACATATAAATTACATGAAATAAATTCCATTCTGTTTTATTTTACATTATGACGTTTATGAAATATCAGAATGTATGAAAGACAAGTCTATCCATGCTTTATACGCAGTATGAATGCTTGGAATGACTATGTTAGAGGAGAACAAATAGTAGTAGAACTCTTTACAGGAGACTTGGTTAAGGAAACAGGGAAGCTACTCTTATCCCAAAAGCTTTAATTTCGTTAACAGAGCACATGGAAAAGAATAGGAATGGTTAGCAATAACCTGGCCTCCTTGTTAAACCTGGGTCCTTGAATGTTCTCTGGAAGATGGATCATTGTTCTTTTGTTTCATTTAAAGCACATTCGTTGTATCAGAATTTTCTTAGTCTGATACTTAAGATTTTAGCTATCCTAGATATAATGTTCAAATACAGCTACCTCTATAAACAAGATACACTGAAACAGGTAACTCTCGGTTATGTGTCATTGCATACAACACACATCAAAACATAGTGACTTAACATCTGTGTTTTTTTTTTTTAAAGATTTTTATTAGGGAATTGAGGGATGGGAACAGAATTAGGGAAGGGGAACAGACAAGTTGAAGAACAAACGTTTGTTCTTCTGTCTAGTTGTGGAGGACGTTGCTTCACTGGCCCCAATTGTCACCATCATTGCGCTCTTCCCGGGTGAGGCAGATCAGTTGCCGGCTTCCGGACTTCCGCTCACAGCGGCTGCCAGCTGCTCATGCTGGCTGCTGGCTACACACAGTAGCCCATGGCAACCCACTGCCACAGGGGCTGCAGCCTATGCCATCGCCAGAGACTCACGGCAGCCCAGCTCCAGGCTGAGCTGTTGTTCAGCATCTTAGCTGTGGAGGGCAGTGTCACTGGCCCTCATATGTAGGATCCGAATTGGGGCCCTCTGGCGTCCCAAGCCAATTCTTAACCATCGTGCCACTCGGCCGGCCCTAACATCTGTTTTTTATTTCTCACAATTAAGTGGGTTGACCAAGTAGTTCTCCTTCCCATGGTGTTGGCTGGAAGGTCCCAGGTGGCCTCACTCCCATGGCTGGCAGTTGGTGTTGGCTGCCAACTGGGAGCTCAGATTTTAAGAGAAAGCATTTTTAGTGGTCAAGGCGGAAACTGCATATTTCTTAAGTCCCCGTTTCAACAGTTACAAAGTGTCACTTCTGCCACCTACTGTTGGTCAAAAAAAAAAAAGTCACAGGGTCAACCAGAATTTATGGAAAGGGAAATAGATGGCGCCTCTCAGGGGGAAGAGTGGCAAAGGATTTGTTGGCATCTTTACCACATGCGTTTTCCCTCAACTGTAGGATCTGGATTAATCTTCCTAAAAGACTCGTTTATCGTGATATTCAGTGGCTCTCATTTAGTGTAGATATGAGGTCTCAGTTCTTAGGCCTCAGTTCAGGAGGCTGTTCAGTTTAGGCTCCAGCATGCATTTCGAATTTGATCCACTCCTATGCCTTCAGCCAGAATGGCCCACTTATTCTTGACTCAGTTCCCTAGTTTATGTTGTTCCTACAACACAGAATAATAGCCTTCTTCCTGCTCTAGTCCATACTTAGTCCATCCTTCAGACTCAGCACATGTCTAAGCCTTTCCTAGTTATTTTCTCAACCAGTCTAGCTCAGTGTTCTCTGTTTTCTGCACTCAGATATCACCTATGTAAACTACTCGTTTGTCACAATAATATATTGTAATGACAATTTATCTTTCCCTTTCTGTGTCTTGTCTTTCTATCTCAACTATAAATTCTTTGAAGATAGACACTAACATTTTTATTTTGTGACCTGTGTAGTCAGATTTCAATTCATCCTTTCTTCGTCATTCCTATTTTTAACACTCAGGTGCAAGGTTCATGTAACTTGATTGGTATCCCAGACTGATTATTTTCACATCATCATTACATTAATTTAATGTATCGCTATAATAAAAATCACAAGTTAATGTTTTTCAGAGTTCTTTCTTCATACACTTTTTCTAATTTATGCAACAATCCTGTAAGTTAAGCAGGGAAAAGCTTCTATAAATAGGCTGTGCTTGGAGATCTATGGTGTGTGAATTAAATATTGCCTTCTTGGAGTATCTTTAGGAGGTTTTAACTGAATAGAGACAATTTTTAACCAGGTATTTAGAGCGTTTCATAAACTGACCCAAACCCTATCTCCCACTGTCCCCAGTATGAGCGAGCTCCTTATCAATTTGAAATGTTCGTCATCTGCAAAAATGTAGGTCACTTCCTATTTTGCTTATTCTGAACCTTCCTATCATCCCTCCATAGTTTTAGCCTTGTTCCATCTTAAATGCCACTTTGTGATGCCTCTCTTGATCATTCAAGTCTAAACTGATCCTTTCATCTTCTGTGCTTTCCTAAAATTCTGGGTTTTATAATGCATAAAACTATAAAATACTACCTTATAAATATGTTTGAAATATTTTATCTTTTTTCCTGAAAGGAAGGTCATCATATCTTACATAATCTTGTACCCTATGTATATTTCCTCGCGTAGTAAATGTGCAGAAAACTATTAATGCCTGAAGGAAAAGAAAATGGTTAGATGGATGAGTCTAGTAGTATTTTAAAATGTGTTTGTTTACAAGGCAGTAATCCTGGATTTAATACTTGAAAGTGTTAGGTACTTGAAATGTTTTAAATCATTATTATAGTCATTATATTGAGCATTAATAAATATTTGTTTCAGTAACCAATGTGGCTTTTTCTTTAATCTGATTCGAAATAGATGGACAAGAAGAGAAGAAGCTGACTTCTACCGAGTTGTGTCTACATTTGGAGTGGTATTTGATCCTGACCGAGGCCAGTTTGATTGGACAAAATTCAGAGCTATGGCTAGACTCCATAAGAAAACTGATGATAGCTTGGAGAAATATTTGTATGCATTCATGTCTATGTGTCGGAGGGTTTGCCGTCTTCCTTCCAAAGAGGGTATGTATAAAATTTCTTATTTTCCTTGTTTTGGTCAAGGAAGCAAAACCACTAAAATTTAGAAATTTTCAACTCATTTCAATACTATTCAATATGTCAGCAATTTTTCATTCTTATAAGTAAACTATGCTTAAAGGTCCCTTATTCTTTAACCCTATTAAAATGAGATCTAGAGAGAATAAAGGTCCATGCTGAGAAAATAGCCAGTGTTTATATTTAGTATTACATTTACGATTGGGGGAGATGAAGATAAAGGATAGCTTTAGGTAAGCAACACTAAACTACATTTTTAGTCCATCTTATAGGAACTGTGCTAGAGGGCTCATTTTACATGAATAATTTTGCAGGAAATAAGGCCTCCACTGAAAACATTTAAAGAGGTTTAGTAGGAAAAAATCACCCACGGCCTTCCAAAAACAACAACAGCTAATCAGAGGTGCTAATGCTCAGCTAAGGAGTTGTTTTGGAATGAATTTCATGGTTTTTCAGGCCCAGAGAAATAGCTTTTCCTGTCAGCAGTTCCTCTCAGTAGTGCATTGTTACAAGCAACTGTCTTCTTTCTTTGTTCAATATGATTTCTGACTGCTAAACCCAGTGGCTTCCTACTCCTGTTTCATAGTAAAAATATAAGTGGCTCATAAAAGGGTTTAAATTCTATGTGGGTTTGTTTGTTTCTATTTCCTAACAGATTTGTTGTCAGTCTACTGAATAGAAAGCAGCCAATCGCTTGATTACCCAAATACCAGATGATTCAGGGTAGATCTTAGTGTCCTTTAACGTCCATTGTAATACCATAAATGGATTTAAAAAGATGGATAAGGCCAAGTACTGTCTTCTAGTATTTGTAGTTGCCAAGAGGTTCTCATTTTTTTTAATTTCTTTTTTTTCTTTTTTCTTTTTTTTAAGATTTTTATTGGGGAATTGGGGAAGGGGAACAGCCAAGTTGTTGTCCTTCAATCTTAGTTGTAGAGGGCACAGCTAGCTCAGCTCCAAGACCAGTCGCCATCCAGCTGCCCATTGGCAGCTTGCGACCGCTCAGCTCAAGGTGCCATGCTCAATCTTAGTTGTGGGTGGGCTTAGCCCACCATCCCATACGGGAGTCGAACCGGCAGCTCAGCTTCAGCGCAGCGTCACTGGCCCATGTGGGCATCGAACCGGCAACCCTGTTGCTCACAGCTCTCGCTCTTAACCAACTGAGCCACTCTGCTGGCCCCTCTTTTTTTAATTTTTTAATTCCCATCAGCAATATAAATTTAAGTGAATAAATTCATCACTTTTGATTCCAGGTGTAAAAGAAAAGGGAAAAGGATTAATTACTAAATGGTGATTAAAAAGGTAGCTTTTCCGTGTTAGAAATGACTGACGTTTTACTTAGATCACTTTCCCAGTCTTCCTCAGTTCACATTGCCCTTAATATCTCAGTAATTTTTCATAGTACCCAAGGTCATAAGTTCTTTTTAATGAGTAACTAGGTCCAAACAACTTAATAAGTATCTGTGTCCTAACAATCTAGTAATTGTTTGAAAACAGCATAAATTGAAAGAAAAAAATAATACCTTTATATCTTAAATAATCACAGTTACTTACTAATGGGATGTGTACACCTTCTCAAATCTTAGAAGTAGCATGGATACTACCACTCGTGTTTCCTGTTTCGTAATTGATTTTTGACTGGTCCTTGGTTTTTTGTTTTGTTTTGTTTTTTTACTTTTTATTTTGAACTACTTTTAGGCTTTCAGAAAAGTTGTAAAAACTAGGGAGTTTCTATATATCCTTCTGTCTGTATCTCTGCTCACAAACATATGACCTCACCAGAAGGAATATAACGTGTTAAAACTGAACTATCATACAGTGTTTGGAAAATGCCCCTATGTTTCCTGCAAATTTTAAGAAAGCCTTTGGTTTCATTTAGGGATATGTGGACTTATGTTTATGGAGTATTATTAAATAGTTCTAAGTTATAATTATAAAAGTGAGCATGAGTGTTTTTCTCTTTAAGGCAGAATAGTAAGACCTAGTTCATAGGGAATTTCTTAAAAGTAAATTCTTAGTTTTATTAATGTACTTCCAAAAGAGTCTTCATGCTTTACTTACTTTCTATAGATCCGTTATTATTTATTGTATGTTACATGATTTTTAGTACTTTTAAAAAATCTATTTCTCCATTTAAAAATATTAAAAATAAATTCTGGAAACTATACAGAGTTACATTTTAGACGAAGTTACATTATTTGTTTAAAATCTATAATGAACTATTTTTGAGCTTAATATTTTTGTTCTGTTTTAATGTAGAATTTGTGGATCCAAATATTTTTATTCAGCCTATCACAGAAGAGCGTGCTTCTAGGACTTTGTATCGCATTGAACTTCTAAGGAAAGTAAGGGAACAGGCCCTCCGACATCCACAGTTGTTTGAACGATTGAAGCTTTGCCATCCAAACCCAGACTTACCAGTCTGGTGGGAATGTGGCCCTCATGATAGGGACTTGCTTATTGGAGCTGCTAAACATGGGGTGAGCCGCACAGACTATCACATTCTTCGTGATCCGGAACTCTCATTTATGGCAGCTCAGAGGAACTACAGTCAAAGTAAGATGGCTCATTCAAGGACTTCTACCCCTCTTTTACAGCAATATCAAGTAGCACTTTCTGCTTCTCCTCTTACCTCTCTACCTAGGCTCCTAGATGCTAAAGGGATTGTTCTAGAGGATGTGAAAGTTAAAAGTGAAAACCTTAAAGAGGAGCCTCAGTCTTCTGAAGAAGAATCGATGTCTTCTGAGGAGACCAGGACACTAATAAAGTCTGAGCCTGTAAGTCCAAAGAATGGCGTCTTACCACAGGCCACTGGAGACCCGAAACCTGGTGGGAAAGGCGAAGCAGACAGACGCATGGTTGCAGCCAGAACAGAACCCCTAACTCCAAACCCGGCTTCTAAGAAACAGCGCGTCCGCAAAAGGGGATCAGAGTCTAGTTCGGATTCGGACTCTGATTCTGCGCGGTCATCCTGTTCCTCCAGGTCCTCGTCTTCCTCGTCCTCCTCCTCCTCTTGTTCCCACTCGCGATCAGGCTCTAGTTCTTCGTCGTCCTCCTCCTGTTCTTCAGCCTCGTCCTCCTCCTCGTCCTCCTCCTCGTCCTCCTCCTCGTCCTCCTCCTCTTCATCAGAAGAAAGTGACAGTGAAGAAGAGGAGGCCCAGAAGCGAGGTATATGCACAAAGTGCTCCTGCTATTATGAGACGGCACTTCAAGTGAAGAGAATTGACTACGATAACGCAACCATATTTAAAATCGTTAGCTTAAGGGCTGGCCGAGTGGCTCAGTGGGTTTTTGGTTTTTTTCAGCTGAGCCGTCCTGCCACCTGTTGGCAGCTCAGCAACAGCTCAGCTTGGGCCGGGACTCGAACTGCTGTGTCAGTTGGTTAAGAGCTCACTCAAGAGTGCGAGCTCTGAGCAACAGGGTCACCGGTTCGAGTCCCGGCCTGAGCTGAGCTGCCGCTAAGCTGCCAACAGGTGGCAGGATGGTTCAGCTAAAAAAATAATAGTAAAATAAAATTGTTAGCTTAAATTTTACAGGTACACATTTTCTTAGAGAAGCACTATTGAAAAGGAAATGAGAATTACTGGCATCCACTTCTGTCCAGTACTCAAGGCATTGGAAAATGGGTTAGTCAAGCAGGAATTAGCGATTTTACGCAATAATTTTTTTTCTTTGTGATTGTCTTAACTTTAGTATTCTATTTTTCCTAGAAAAAGTTGATCAGTGAACAGATGAAGATAATATTCTATTACAGCCACCAGGATTCTTAGCTTAAGCAGTCAGACCAATAAGAGCATCGTAGGCCCTGCTGGTCAGTAGTGTGGTGTTTTGGGTCCTCTTCTGCAGGGTCCTTGAGCAGCCCAGTTTCACGGACAAGTGAGTGAGTTACCGTCGAGTGGGCGCAGTGTCTGCTCTGGCTTACAGAGCCTCCACACCTCCCAGGAGCCTCAGGCTCCCGGAACAACTCCACAGGCATGACATAACATTCAGGGTTGCCACAGGGCCATGCCCAACTGTAAGAGTCCTCCACTTAGAGCTCTTGTATCCCCGCCAGGTATCCAGGACCCTCCCAGTCCAAAGCAGTCCATCAGTCAGCAGTTTGTCTGTGTCAGGGAAGCAGACCTAGAGTTAACTGAGGGTCAAATGCTTAGGCTTAAAAGGATGTTATGTTAACCCTTTGTCCTCGAAGTCCTTAGTGTCACTTCTTTTGCTTTTGTGCTAATTTTTAAAAATGAGTATTTTATTCTAGGTGAATTTTTTTCCTCTTTTTTACTATTTGTTTTACTTCTTTTTTCATTTTCAGCTATATCTGAATAATTATATGAGATTTGAGAAGTAGATGTAAAATAGTTTTATTCAGCCTTTTTTAAACAGTTATAATTGTTCTTAGCAGAAGGTACCCCTCACATGAAAGCCTACGATGAAGAAAGTGTCGCGTCACTGAGCACCACCCAGGACGAGACTCAGGATAGTTTCCAGATGAACAATGGAACTCTGGATTCTGCTTACCTACTGCAAGGTGGATACATGCTGGCAGCTTCCTATTGGCCAAAGGTAAGAAGAATATCTTGCTGGAATAGATTATTTTTTGTAAATATTTTTTATATTGCTTCAATGGTAACTATTATTATTATGTAGAAAAGTAGGTCACTATAAAATGTAGGATGACATTTTGGTATTATCACGAAAATGAGGGGGCCAGCTGAGTGGCTCGTTGGTTAAGAGCTAGCTTGGGAGCGCGAGCTCTGAGCAGCAGGGCCACCGGTTTCGATCCCACATGAGGGCCAGTGATGCTGTGCCCTCTATAGCTAAGATGGTGAACAACAGCTCGACCTGGAGCTGGGCTGCCGTGAGTCGGCAGCAGGCGTGAGCTGCCGTGAGCAGCTGTCCAATGGCCAGCGACTGATCTGCCTCAGCCAGGAAGAGCGCAATGATCACAATGCCAACATGGGCCAGTGAAGCGACATCCTCCACAACTAGACTGAAGAACAAAGGACAGCAGCTTGTCTGTTCCGCTTCCCCAATTCCCCAACACTATTCCCTCCCCCAATTCCCCAACAGACTCTATTAAAAAAAAAAAAATTAGGTCTACTTAAATGTGTATGCTTCTCAACATAACCTCAGAATGTTTAGAATGAAAGATAATGAATGCTTATGTTCATATACAAGTTAACATTCAAGTGCTTCTTTATGAAATTAGTGCTTTCAACTGAGTCTCCTTGAAGAAATTTACTGTAGCCATTTGTGACTCAGGGAAAAAATTTCATTTAAGTATATGTACATTCAGTGGTAGCAGTTCAAATTGGATTAATACAGTTCTTCCAGTATGTGACTAGTACAAGAATACTTACCCTCTCCAAGTGAGGCTGGGAAGTGGGGGCGTAGAGAACTCTGTACTCTTTTATATACTTCTGAGTTGTTTGAATTTTTCACAAGGAGCTTGTATTACTTTTGTAGTTATAAAAACAAAAGCATAGAAAAGTATCTTTATAAAATATTTTTTTAGCTTCACCAATGGGAATTTGTACTTGAATAACTTCTTACTGAATTGTAATATGTGTGTGAGAATACGTATGCATACCAAATGCACATATATGGTACCAAGGTTAAGTCCATCAAGATTCAGAGCCATTTGAGCCCCACAGGTCTTGCCTGATTATTAAAATTATACTTTGATGTTGCATACTTTCCAGGATCGTGTGATGATTAACCGATTGGACAGTATTTGTCAAACAGTTCTGAAAGGAAAGTGGCCTTCAGCCAGAAGGAGTTATGATGCCAACACAGTGGCTTCTTTCTATACCACCAAGCTGCTGGACAGCCCTGGCGCAGCTACAGATCATAGCGAGCCCAGCGTGCCCACTCCTCCAGGTGCCACCGGTGTTAAAGAAGAGCATGACCAGTCAGCACAGATGTCAAAGGTGAAGAAGCATGTACGAGAAAAGGAGTTTACAGTGAAAATCAAAGACGTATGTTTATTTTTGTTGCCCTAGGACCTGATTGCGATTGCGGTGTGCAGCATGCTCTTCCTGCAGATGGCTGCCTGCTCTTCCTTCCTTCACACACTTGTTCTCTGGGTTTTGGATCGTTTTCCTTTTGATATCCAGGTCATTAAACTTGAATGTTCTAGAGTGACCATCATTAAATATGTTTCTCTACCTACACTTCTGAAAATGGTCCTTCTGCTTATCAAGATGCTTTCTTAAACAGTCTGACAATTTCTAGTTGTGGTTCTTTTATATATTTCAATGGTGTGTCAGTGCACTTTCTGTTTTAAACATTTAGCATGCCCTGTTATCAGTAACCTCATTTCTCCATCTGATTTTTGAAACTTAATTGATTGCTCAGTGTCTTAAACAAGGGTAATATTCGGTAAAATAGCATATGAATAACGTACATAGAGACGGATGTCCAAAGCTGAAAGTGTTGCAATGTATTTAGGTCATGTGAAATACTTTGTTTGGCTCATAAAAGTGTATGCGGTACCTGGATTTTTTTTCCTTTTTCATTAAAGATAGAAATTTTAATATGCATTGTAGAAAATGATTAAATGTGTTTTGTTTTTTTTCAATATACTTATGAGCAAAAGAGAACTTAATTAATGTTTCAGGGTTTGTACTTAGAATTTTCTCTTAATATTCTGCAATGCGACTTTTAGTTGTTCCTTTCTTAATAATGGTGTTCGTTTCACAGGAAGGTGGTTTGAAGTTGACATTTCAGAAGCAAGGGCTTGCTCAGAAGAGACCGTTTGACAGCGAAGACTGTGCCCTGGGACAGCAGCAGTACCTCACCCGCCTTCGGGAGCTTCAGGGTGCGTCCGAGACCAGCCTCGCCAGTTTCCCCAAGGCTGTGCCAGGATCAGGTGACTATGCTAGAAACAGTGGTCTCACTGTGAAATACTTCCTGTCATGTCCAAAACCTCTTTCATTTACTCTTACAGTAAAAATCCATTGGTCCTTTAATGTTGGAGCCTCTCTTAACTCTGTAAGGTAATCAATGTAATTTTCAATATAAATAAATATTGGAACTTTTAATAGGACATTTTAAAGCATAGCGGGCAGCTTAGTTTGGGGAGCTTATGTGCTTGGGTAGAAATATTTTATCAAGTAGCTTTATACAGATAAAAGTTCTAATAGCATTTCAGCATGAAAACAAATTAGGAGTTTAAAGAAGAACACCTAAATCACAAATTAATGGTGATTGGTAGAGGAAGTTAAAATGAGTTGTTTTAGAAATACTTGAGAGACGACACAGTCCAGGTATGTACGGGATACAGGAATAGTTTATGACGAATCCCTGGAAGATAATCTTCCCTTCTCATGGAAGGAACACTTGGAGAGATATTTGTATAACATCAGACCGGCTTAGGAAAGGTGAACCTAGATTATGGCCAACATCAAGAGCTGAGCTGGGGAGGACTGGGGGTTAGTGGTCATGTAGGAATGGGGTTGATGTAAGTAAGGCCTTTCATCCATATTAGAACAGGACAGAAGCCATGAGATGTTCTTATAAACAGAATGGTAGTTTTTAAAAGTGGTGCTTAAAGGAAGTCTATTATTACAGCTAAAATGTTTTAAAACATAATAGTTTGTTAACTGGTTATAATAAAATTCACTATGTGGATATAATGAAAGGTTTCTTTTTTTGTAATGTTATATCACATTCCTCAGTGCTAAAGCAATATGCAAAAATGATTTTTAATCATTGTGATTAGTTATTCCTTACCATATTAATTAAGGTACCTTTTTTGAAACTGACATGTAGGAAGTGACTTTGATCAAGTTCCACCACAAGCCAAACGGCAACACGATTTTTAGGGATACCCATGACTTGCTTAAAAAATTCTCCTTAAAAGAGTGAAAATGCATTTTTCGCTATAGCTGTGAACCATTTTAAACAAAAGATGTTATCCTTAATATTTCCTTTTAATAAGAGAGTTCTATTTTGCAGCACTCTTTAAGGACAGGAACTCTGTCTTACTCTTCTTTGAACCATCATAGTATCTTCTAAATAGCTCTTTCATAAATATTTGCTGGGAAAAAGTAACTGAATGCATGAAACTTTTTTGTTTATGTTTTTTTTTTCTTTAAAAAAATTTTTTTTTTTTTATTGAGTGCCTACTGAAATGAGGAATGAGAAAGGTCAATTTAATTTGGCAACTAAACAGTTAGTGGTGATCTCAAGAAAATACCTTTAAGTTGGCTGGGGCAGCATGGACTGTGGAAAATTGAGAAATGAGTTTAGTGTGATAAAGAGGAACACAACAGTGACAAATCTTTCGAAAGTTTTAAAAGTTATAGAAAGGCCAAAATAAGTTTATTTTTTATTTGTTAAGTTGGCCATGTTTTTAAGTTTAGAAGAATCTAATGTAGGATAAAATATTTTGGTATAAGAAAGCAAATATAAATGATAAAACAGGCTTTTAGAAAAAGTAGAAATAAATGGGTTCAAAGAAAGGGTCAGGGTTTATATTGTACATGAGAACCGCTTGCTTCTTCCTGTAAAAGGGGAAGGAAGAAAAGGTATATGACTATCTGGGGAGAAAATTAAGGAAATAAGTCAAAAGTTGAAAGAGGCCTGGATTACAATCATCCAAGTTTTTAAAGGAGAAATTGGGGTGGTGTTTTTAGTCTGAAGAATTGCTTGATTTAGGATATGTAAAATAGAACTAATACTTCTATACATTTAGAAAAGTGATTACTTTTAATTTAAGAACTAGATTTTTATACTATTTTGCATTTTTAATTTGATTAGGTACTTCCATTCAATCAACTCTTGGTGCCAATGGAGTTATATTAGACAACCAGCCCATAGTAAAAAAAAGGCGGGGAAGGAGGAAGAATGTAGAAGGTGTTGACATCCTCTTTTTTAACAGAAATAAACCACCTAATCATGTAAGTAAAGCAATACATAAAAAGTACTGAACCTTGAGTTCAAAATTTAGTCCTAGTAAAATATATATTGCTGTTTTGTGACTGTTTTATAGAATAATAATTAGAAAATTAGAAGTACACTACATAATTTGAGATTGTATCTCAGTAAATTCAACATTGGCCAAGATTCATGAAAATCTTAAATTTGAAAGATTTAGTAGACTTTTAAACAACTTATTTTTTTTTTCTTCTTCGAAAAGAATTCCTTCGTTGGAGCAAAATGAGAATGATAAATCATGGAAATAAAATTTTCATTTGGTGTTTTTCTACAGGTTACCTTGGGCTTAACCACCTCACAGATTTCCACAGGGATCAATCCAGCACTGTCCTACCCTCAATCTCAAGGAATTCCTGATACAGAAAGTCCAGTTCCAGTTATTCATCTTAAAGATGGGACAAGACTTGCAGGCGACGATGCACCAAAGAGAAAGGATTTGGAAAAATGGCTTAAGGAGCATCCAGGCTATGTGGAAGATTTAGGAGCTTTTATTCCTGTAGGTGATACCTTACAAATCTTGGTATATTTTATTTTTATGATTTATCAAAGCTGTAATGACGAAGGATAAATTTTCACCCACTTATATTAAATATGTGTTCTGCCCAAAACTTAGGAAAATGTGCAGGAAAAAAAATTTACCATCTTTCCCATGATACAATGCAGTATCATTTTCAATTTTTCCATTCTGCTTTCAACAAGTATTTAACAATAAAAATTACCTTTGATATACAGAGTACTATGTTAGACCCAATGCAGGTTGTAAATGTATAAAAAAAACTTCAGTCCTTTCCCTCAAGGAAATTATTTTTAAATAATAACATCATAGTAAACATATATTGAGACTTTACTGTGTGCCTGGCATTATACTTAGCACTTATCAATGAGATAACATGTATTATCTTTTTTAATACTCCCAACAACTTTATCAGAATGGCATTGTTATAACTATTTTATAGATAAAGAAGTTAAAAATACTGAAATTTTAAGTAAGTAGTGCCATGCCACACAGCTAGTAAGTCTTATCTTAAACCTAGTTTCCAAACTCCTCCTCCTTAAGCTCTTTGTCAAGTTACAAGAATACAGCTTCTGTGTGTCTCCAGATGCACAATGAGTTAGGTTAATCCAAGATGAGAATCATTATAGTTCATTTGCATTTTCCTTATCCTCTGAAATACTCACCAATCACTATCTTAAGGGTGTTTAGCTTTCTCACTCGCAGAAGTCTATTCATTTCATTTCGCAATACTTCATTATCAGATGCTGATATACCAAATTTTGTGTCTGTCTCCTTTGAAATTTCTGTGTACTTTATAAGGTAAAAGAATAAAATATATCCTCTATACAATGAATTTAGCATGCTATTCCAGCTGCCTCCTGTTATTTTTTCATAATAAAAAATTATGAAAATTAAATGGATCACACAATGCAGCTCTCCACACCCTGTGACCTTCTCAGGGACTGTCCTGTTCACCTTTGTATCCCCAGCACTTGGCACCTGATTCATAGACTAGTATCTAGCTCCCTATACATATTTATTGAGTCAATGATTAAAAAACAAAAACTATCTGAAGACGAAACTGTGCTATGTAAAGATAAAGTGATTCTTATTTAATAACAAAAAGTTAACTACCTCGTGATTTTTTTCATGAAAAGGAAACCAGCTCCAGTCCCTAAAATAATGGGACTTTATCGGTAATAAGCATTTTAATGTATTTGTATCTGTAATATATATTTAGTTCAGTATTTTAATTTGCTGTTATTGTCACCAGGAACTAACCTAGTAGTCTGAAACAGTGACCCTCAGTCTTAGCTTTTGAATACCTTTCACATCCCTAATTTTCTCAGAGGGTGCCACAGATTCTTAAACTTTTATTTAATTCCTTTTGATTAAAAATAAAGCCAAAAAAAGCTCTTATAATTCTGAGAGGAGGGTTTTTCACAAATCTGATGGGCAATCATAGAATAAATATAGCAATTCTAAAAATAATGACATTTTTAGTTCAGTGCTATAACTTAACATGTTAGAAAATAATCATTTATTCAGTCAGTAAATTTTTATTTAGTACTGTGTGCTTGTTGCTATTTTAAGTGATTGAGGATAAAACTGAGCAATAATCTTTAAAGGATTTTCATACCTTTCTCATCACTGCAAAGGAATCTTTATTAATTTTTTAACAACCATTTAGCATTACTACTGCAAATAAACCTTATATAATGTTTTCTATAATTTTATTAATATTTAAAAACATTTTTAAAAGAGCATTTATAGCAGTAAAGAATATGAAATAATTTCCCAAGGATACTCAACATTGATGATTTCTTGGATCTCACACTCTATTGTGGTATACCTATAACTGGATAATTACAATATGGTATATATACTATAACAGAGGTATGTGTAAAGTGCCATGGAAGCAGATAAAAGAATAATTAGTCTGCCTAGTCAGAGTAAAGTGTCTGGAGGAAGATAGAAGGAAAATAGAGTGAAATGACTAGTGAGTGATAAAAGAATCAGTAGGCATTTGACCAGGTTATCACCAGACGAGGACATTCTAGGCATTATAAAACAATTATGATGAGAGTTTTCGAAGGATGGGAGTGGTATTCATAAAACAGTGACGAGGCTGATATTGCAAGTTATGTGAGGGAACGTGTCGGTTAATAGTAACTGGATAGAAAAGGTTGAATTAGGGCCCGGCTGTCATGGGACTGGTATGCCATGCTGAAGAGTTTGAGCGTTAGTCTCTTGGAATGTTCTGATTGATTGGAAATAGCTACAAACCTCAAACCCTGCTTTGTTAACAGCTGTAGAGGTCAAAAGCATGGTTTGATGGAAAGAGTTTTTATTGCCAGATATAGCCCCTTGCTGGCTTCATGACCTTGAGGAAGATAATCTCTCCGAGCCTGCATTCCTATTTATAAAGTACGAATAATATGTTTGAGTATTATGTGGATTACGTGAGAAGATGTAAGGAAGTCTATGAGTGAGATGAAGGAAATTAAATCCTCTAGCACACGTATAAATTGTGTCTGAGTCCAGAGAATATTACCTGATGTTTCAGGTAAAATTTATCAGAAGTTAAGGACTATCCAATTTAGTGGAAGCTACTCCAGCATTATTGGCTACTCCTTCAAGTACCACTATAGGAATACAGTTGTCTCTGAGGGCATTTAGAGAAGGAATTGGTAGTGTCCTCATTTTAGGAGCCTACTATTAGACAGAATGAAAATGTGACCATTATGATAGCCTTGAATTAGGTTTAAATTTATAATATAAGGAAAAGATTCACAGGGTCAAATATATGGTGATGGAAGGGGAACTGACTCTGGGTAGTGAATGTGATATATAGATGAGGTAATACAGAATTGTACACTTGAAACCTATGTAATTTTACTGAACACTGTCACCCCCATACGTTTCAATTTTAAAAAAAGATTCATGTAATACCTTTTAAAGTCTTATTTAGTCTTTTTATTAATTATAAAAATATTTAAAGTTTAAATATTTTTTGAAGTTTATTAACAGGTAAATTCTTCAATATGACATTGAAGATATATAAGATTTTATATATAATATGTGATATATATCTTCAGTATTATAGGATTAAGTTACTTTAATCAGTTCATTTGTATTATTTACACAAGTGAAGATTTAAAAACTATTTTTATGTCTATTTATTTTAGAGAATGCAGCTCCATGAAGGGAGGCCCAAACAAAAAAGGCATCGTTGCAGAAACCCCAATAAGCTAGATGTTAACAGTCTCACTGGAGAAGAGCGTGTTCAGTTGATTAATAGAAGAAATGCCAGAAAGGTATTTATATGTTTGTTGTCCTTTTATGTTGATTCAATATATATATATTTTTAAAGATTTTATTGGGGAATTGGGGGAGGGGAACAGCTCTGGGGAATCGGGGGAAGGGGAACAACAAGTTGCTGTCCTTTTGTTCTTCAGTCTAGTTGTGGAGGACGTCACTTCACTGGCCCATGTTGGTATTGTCATTGCGCTCTTCCTGAATGAGGCAGATCGGTCACTGGGCCCTGGACGGCCACTCACAACAGTTCTTGGCAGCTCACGCTGGCTGCCAGCCACTCACAGTAGCTATGGCAGCCCACTGCAGCAGGGGCTGCAGCCTATGCCGTCGCCGGCAACTCATGGCAGCCCAGCTCCAGGTCAAGCTGCTGCTTACCATCTTAGCTGTAGAGGGCAGTGTCACTGGCCCTCATGTGGGATCTGAACCAGGGCCCTGCTGCTCAGAGCTGGCGTCCCAAGCCAGCTCTTAACCAACGCATCACTCGGCCGGCCCTGATTCAATATTTAAGAGATCGCTAGAACACTCTTCATTATGCAGTACTTGCTCACAGACCTGGAAATGGGTTAAACCTAGCAGATTTGTGTCAAAAGATATGGGCTATAATTTTATGCAGTCTAATTTCAAATCCTATATCTGTGGCTAAGGTGTTGAATAAAATAAGTAAGTCACTTTACATAGCTGTGCCTAAGCAGCTGCACTGGTTCTCAACAGGGGGCAATTTCGTCCTGTAGGGGACATTTGGCAAGTCTGGAGACATTTTTGTAGCCACAATTTGGGAGTAGGGAGGTGGATGGTGCGCAGGAAAACAATGCTACTGGCACCTAGAGAGGGTAGGAACTAGGGATGCTGCTAAATTCCTGCAATACGTAGGACACCCCCAACAACAGGAGTACGAGATGTCTGTAGTGGACAGACTGAGAAACCCTGGTGAAAGGGCAACACTCTCATTATCACAGTCATAGATTTATATATTTATCACTGTAATTTTCCATCAGCTGGCCGTAAAGTGTCTTGTTCTGTCTGAATTGGCATATTACATAATTTTCTGATAGATGGAGATAAAATGTCTTAAGCAAAGGTAGCTTATAGACTAATGGTACCTCTGTGCTTATGTTGCTTTATTGATTGTTGCATGGTAAGAGTCAGATTTTTCCAAAGTCTATTTCTGGACCAAATGTGGCTCAATATTTATTTTCCCAAATTGTTTTATGTTTGGATTGGCATACATCAGTTTTACCTCCCAAAGTAAATTAAAGAAAGGATGCTTATGGCACCTTTTTCTAGGTTTATAGCTTTGATATTTTTATTCTGTTTTTCATTCTGATGAGCAAGCAACAACATAAGTAAGAAATAAATATTGGCCTCAGTAAGAACAGCAAACTTCTCACTGAGTTCCTCCACTCACAAGTTAAATTACCTTACAGAGCTCATGTTAATTCCCTAGTTCTCTTTTGCTGCTAGTATAAAGATACATAAAAATTATTTGAATTTCTCAGAAAAAATATTGGAATTGGAAGAAAACTTTTAAAAATAAGTTATTTTAGGGCAGCCGGTTAGCTCAGTTGGTTATAGCACAGTGCTCATAACACCAAGGTTACCAGTTTGGTCCCCAAATGTGCCACTGAGATGCGCCCTCCACACCTAGAATGAACCAACGACTCATCTTCGAGCTGATGGGTCCTGGAAAAACACACTGTTCTCAATTTTAAATAAACAAATAATTAGTTATAATTGAAAAGTGTTATTTTAATATTGTGTTTGCACCAGCTCATTAAAATTAATACTAACTTTTCCTCCAATTTTGTAGAGATAGCTTATTCAGCTATTGTTAGTACTTTAAAGTGATGTCATAGTGTATTAAGGAAAGAGCAAGGTGACATTTTAGTAGCACTTTATTTAATTTTGCGCTTGCATAATTGTGTTACAAATCTCACTTTATCTTATAATGAAAATTGGAATTACTAGATAGGAATACATTTGTTGTAGCCAGTTTAAGGAAATGGAACAATTTTGTATTTTTATTTGTTAGGTTTAATTTTAAATACTCTAAATTTTATTTTTAATGTGGTAACCTGATTAAGGGACCTGTTCGTTTTCCTTAATTTTCAGAGTTTTAATTTTCCCGAGTCTTTAGAGTACAGGCTTAGGATTCATGCGTCACCAAGGAAAAGAATCTACCTGCTAAATCCCCCATAAACCACCCAGAAGGCTTCCAGTTTAAATTGGAGCTTAATGAAGGGGATAATAAAAAAGGGAAGAGAATAGAAACTATAGATACTAAGTAAAGACAAAAGGAAATATTAAATAAGAATACTTATAGATAGGTATTATAACTGGCTATGTTAAACCTTGTCTATAGCCTATCAAGATATAGTATGTATTCATTCAAAGATGTGTGGAAGAAAGAATTACTCAAGAAATATCTTTATAGACTCCAAGGGAACATTAAATTGGTAGGTCCAAATCATTTAAATCTAAATCATTTGAATTTCAAAGTAGTATTTTGTTTCAATTTCATACTAATTATATATAATTTTTTGTTTGTTTTTTTAAATTTACTTATGATTAGTTGGTTATTTCACTTTTCACACACAAAGGATATGTACATTTTTATACTTTTAGGGTGTCAATTTATATAATAGATAAGAGCATGAGTTTTTGAGACCTTAGTTTGAAAGCTGACCCTAATACTTATTAGCTAGCTAGCTCTAGGCAACTTATATAACTTCTCTGAGGCTTAATTCCTACATTTGAAAAATAGAAATAATACTATCTCAAAAGGGTGTAGTGAGAACTAAAAGAAATTATAAAACTGAGGCTCAGAGAGATTTACTGATTTGCTTAAGTTCACATAGCTGTAAAGTCTGACTCCAAAATGTATACGCTTAACAGGGTATACTGCCTGTTCAGCATAGTAAGTGCACAATAAATGGTAGTTACTTATTTTACCGTTCTAGTTACTCTACTTAAAACATAAACAATTTACATTACCACATATTTATATAGTATTTTAATATTCCTTATGGGTTGTTTGTCCTTTTTAATATAATAAAGATTGTCAAAGGTGGTTCAAAGAATACATGTTTTAAAGAAATAAACTCTGAAAAGAAGCATGATGTGTCTCCATATTTAATAGTATTTTTACATGTCTAACAATCTGTTTTTTGTTTACAGGTTGGAGGTGCTTTTGCTCCCCCTTTGAAAGATTTATGTAGATTCTTAAAAGAAAATTCAGAATACGGAGTTGCTCCTGAATGGGGAGATGTTGTGAAGCAGTCTGTGAGTATTTCATAAGTACTAACTCAGACGTCATTATAAAAATTAGATGTCATTTAATTATATCTCGAATTAAATTTTAAGTTAAGAATCTATAAAATATTCTGTGAACATGTGACAGTGCTTTTTGTTCACAATTTTTATTTTGCAAAACATGTTACAAAGTTTTCAGATGTCTGTTGAGTTTGAATCAGTATATACTGATTTGTTTTTATTTTAACCTCTAAGATGCTGTTTGAACAATGGCACAAAGAATAATCAACGATGTGGGGAAAGAAATTATAAAAGGATATTCATCTTGTATAGTGGTAAAAAATTAACTACTGATGGTCCAGACATGTGTTGGAAAACTATGCAACTGTTTTAAAAATTGTATTTTAAAAGAACATGCTGTACACCTGAAATTAATGTAAAATAATGTTGAATGTCAAAAAAAACCCAAAAAACGACTAGACACATTTCTTTAATAAAAGCATCTGATGACAAGGGAGAAAAAGCTCACTATATGTTAAATGGAATAGTAGTTAAGCTCTTGGACTAGCGAGGCCTAACCATGTGGCAAAATGCTAAATACTTAATAGCTTCTTTCTACAGGTGTTCAGATGAAAAGGGCAGGCTATAAACTGTTCAGTATGATTCAGTTTTTTTATTTTGGAAAGGGAGGTGGGGAGAATTAGAGAATTTGTATATAAGTACAAGCAAAAAATTGAAGCACACATCCTGAAATGTTAGCAGTGGTTACCTCTGAATGGTGAAATTATACATGAATTCATTTATTTGCATTTTTTTGTTGTCATGTTTTCTGCATGTGAACCCAAATGCTTTTGTAAAGAGAATAAATAAGTTGATCAATTCAAAAGAAAATTTAAAAACAGTCCTATGAGATGCTTTAACACCACTATCTAGAGCTGCACTGTCACAAATGAGAGCCCCTCAGCATGTGTGGCTGTTGAGCGCCTGAAATGTGGCTGGTCTGAATTAAGGTGTTTTAAGTGGAGAACGCCATGTCGGGACTTTGATGACTTAGTATGGACAGAAGAATATGAAATCTGAGTAATTTTCATAGACTACATATTGAGCTGGTACTGTTTTGCTTTTATTACTCAAATTAAGGTCACCCATTTCTATTTTACCTTTTTTAGTGTGACTACTAGAAAACTTAATATTACATATATGGCTTACATTATATTTCTATAGGACAATGCTGGTCTAAAAGTTTTAAACTCCTACAACTTCTAGGAGTTTTGAGCCTGAGAAGATCTTGGGAGAATTATAAGAAAGCAGCATAGATTGTTCTCCATCATCCTGGACTTTACTCTCCTAGTCTGCAGGTGCTACTGCTGTTCTGAGCCACGTGATTTCACTGCCCTATTGAGTATCTTTTTCAGCATGGCTGTAGCCCTTAATCCCAAAGTGATAGAAGAGTCATACGAAACATCTCAATCTTAGCCTTTTACTTACTTCCTCTATCCTTTCCTCATTGTTCTTCTAGATTCAGAGGCGGGGCATTTCTTTAGCATTCTAGACCATTCGGTGTGTAAAACATGATAAAGGGTATGGAGTAACCCTCATGAAAAATTCCCTTTGTACCTTCTGTTTTCTAGAGCTGGTCTACAAATGTATGTCTCTGTGGAGGAAGGCTAGCGGCCTCTTTCTGCTCTCTTACCCCATGATAAAATGAGAAATGGAAGAGCTGTTTCCAGGCACTACTTAAAATAATAGGAAATTAGGTTACTCTTTCATAATTGATTGTTTTACCATACAGAATAAGTTTATGAATGATTACCTGTTTTAATAGGTTATATGTACCACAAGCTAATAGCTATTGATTTTAATATAGATATTATTAATGATTTTTTTTCTCTCAGGGATTCCTTCCAGAAAGTATGTATGAACGTATTCTCACTGGTCCTGTTGTTAGAGAGGAAGTAAGCAGGCGAGGGAGACGGCCTAAAAGTGGCATTGCGAAGGCCACAGCAGCAGGAGCGGCTGCAACTGCCAGCAGTGTTTCAGGCAGTCCTCTGCTAGCCAATGGATTACTTCCAGGTATGGATCTCACAACTCTTCAGGCCTTACAACAAAACCTACAAAACTTGCAGTCACTGCAAGTAACCGCAGGGTTGATGGGAATGCCTGCCGGCCTTTCTTCTGGAGGAGAAGCGAAAAACATGGCTGCCATGTTCCCCATGCTGCTGTCAGGAATGGCTGGATTACCAAATCTGTTGGGCATGGGAGGAGTCCTGACAAAGCCTGCAGAATCTGGAACAGAGAAAAAGGGAAATGACTCGAAGGAACTGGAAGGAAAAAAAGAAAGGACAGAGAGCCAAAATTCAGAGAATGGTGGAGAAAACTCTGTGTCAAGTTCTCCTTCAACATCCTCTACTGCTGCATTAAGTACAGCTGCAGCTGCCAACTCGTTAGCTCTTAACCCACTGTTACTATCTAATATCATTTATCCAGGGATGCTTCTCACTCCAGGCCTTAATCTTCATATTCCAACTTTGTCCCAGTCCAATACTTTTGATGTACAGAAAAACAAAAACAGGGACTTAGGCTCATCTAAGGCTGTAGAGGTAAAGGAAGAAGATTCCAGAGTCAGAGATCAGGAAGACAAAGGGGGGACTGAACCAAGTCCCCTCAATGAAAACAGCACAGATGAGGGTTCAGAGAAAGCCGATGCTTCGTCTGGATCTGACAGTACATCATCGTCATCCGAGGACTCAGATTCTAGTAATGAAGACTGATTCCCAGACTACACTTCAATTATGAACTGATTTTGGATTTTTTTTTCTTTAATTATTAATTGTAAATACCCCAGTGTGGAGTGCATCAATAACTTACTGACCGAACATTTCAGTTATTTGTTTAGAAGTGCAAACTGCTTTCAGAGACTTTTTGCATGTAAAATTTCTTAAGATTCATAAGTTTCTGAACTCGTATGTACTATCAAATACATAAAGGTGTAAAATTACAACGAAAGGCATTATAATTTTGTTGGGGGTTAATTTTATGGAAATTATGCTCAATAAGAGTTGTATATTTAATATATTTGCAGTGAACACAGAATCCTTTATGCATATTACTGATTTAATTTGAATATAGTTTTACAGCCTCCTTGACACCTATAATTTACAGAACAAAACTCAGCAATAATTTGGGCAGCTAATGAATGTCATGAAAGCTGTAGAATCTACATCACCATCCATTGCTTTAATTACATGAAAATGCTCTAGTGTTGTGATGCACTGCTGATGTTTCCAATTCAGGTACAAGTATGTTTTAAAGAAGAAATAAGTTTCCCAATCAGCCAATTTAACTGGCTACCTGTTACCTCAGCTGAGTTAGTTTAGGAAGTTTACATTCATTTCTAATTCTATACTTGTTTTCAGGGGTTTTTTAAACACATCCTATATATCATGTTAATCTGGCAAGAAATATGACTTGCTTTTTGCTGAGCTTAACTCTGATATCAGTAAAATTAAGTCATAAAATAATCCTATGTCATGTAACTTTGGCACCCTCTAGACATACTTAGTTGTAAGTTTTCAAAGTTTGGCCTCCTATTAGAAATAATTATATCTCAGATGAGTGATGTCTGTTTCCAGGGTTCAGAAAGGGCAAACTCATGAAATGCCACTGAAAAGAACTTTCAACACAGCATACTTCATGTAAAAAAAATTGTTTGTTTGCTTTATTTGTGTAGATTTCTATTTGTGTTTTATGTCATGGTAATATTACAAAATTAACAGATACTAGTGGTAAAGTAATATGCAAATAGTCTAAATTCACCTTGAGTTTCTTCTAGGTGTAAGCAGACTAAATGTTGCCCAGAATCAGTGTTGGGTTCTCAGTTTATATTAAATATACTGAGTTGCCCATTTTGAAAATGCACTTTGAATAATCTCAAAAAAATAAAAATAAAAAATACGAGTTATACCTGTAAACCACAAAATGAAGCCCAAGGCTTCTGATCAATTTCTTAGAGCCCTTTACCATGTAAAATTTGTCTGATATTTGATTTGTGATACAATTTCTCCTGCTAAAGCTGCTATTATTCTGACAAGGTAGAGATCCAGGTTCACCTTCATATACAGTTGAAACAATTAGAACTTAATTGAGTGTAAAATACCATTTATATCCTAAGGAGAGAGAAATGTTAGCATTCTTCCGGTACTTGAATAAGTCAGTGATAAAGTTTGCAAGGGGATGAATTTAGGGAACAAAATACCCCACTTCTCTTCTACAGAAAAAGTAACTTTAAGTATGTTTTGATGATAGAACTTGTTGCTTTGTCATGAATTAAGCAATTATATTGGATTTTCCAAGACATTTACCAGTAAATTGTTTCTGTATGTAAAATAACTAACCCCTTATTAGAGAGACAGTGTTATATGCATTTATAAAACTATGTAAGTTCTATTGGGATGGTATTGATTTTTGTATTTTCCCCAAATAGTACTTTGATAATAGTCCTTTATGCAGTCTTAGCAATAGTCAATATAATGCCCATCCAGGAGAAGTGGGTAGTAACTCTTCATAATGAAAGTGAAATATTACATACTTAGCATCTTCCCTTTGCAGTATTGCACTTTTGTTTGACTAGAATACAACTATGACATAGCCAAAGTTTTTCAAACACAGTGAACTTAGGTTGCCGGTGGAGTATTTCAACACCATCCATGTTTCCCTTTCCTTACTCTACTTCTACCCACATGATCTTTATTCCTTTCTTTCCCCAATTAAAAAAAAAGGGAAAAAAGCCCTAGATCTTATCACTAAATCTACTTTATATCAAATTTATGAGATAAAGTATTTTCCTAATTATGCTCAAGTGAATTTGGTTAACATCTTAGTGATTCTCTTTCTATGTAATAAGGCAATTGCAGTTTTCAAAGTATTAAGGCTAATATTAACTTTAAACATTTTCTTGGGTTTTAAGACACTTGTATTTATTATTGATTGGGGGAAAGTTGTCCTATCAGGTTAAAAAAAAAACCATGCAAATATGGTTGTGTAAAGTTAAGGGTTATAAGGAAAAAAATCAGTAGAATTACATAATACTAAAGTTGCAGTGAAAGGATATCCAAGTATGTGTTGGTAGTTACTAAAAGAATTATAGCTGTTATTGCCTTGTATTTATAGCCCTTGTTTCAGGTTTCATGATTCAAGTCTTAGTCCAATTTTTCTTTTGGACATTTGCAATATTTACCAGTTGTGTTTTGTGTAGTCTGGATTTGCTTTCTGTAGTTGGGCAAACGTCTTAAAAAGTCATTTGTAATTTATTAAATTACTTTCTATGATGTTCTATAGAGCAAATGGAAGTTTAATTATTTTTTATTAAACATATTCTTTGACTACCCATGATGTCAGCCTCTGTACATGACAATACTTTTTTTTATTTAGTTTTATATAGAAAATTTATCTTATCTCAGTTATGCAAGACATAGTCATAAATCTTTAAAAGGAAAGTATACTTTGGAAGAGTTTTTAAAAGACGAGTTGGCAATAATTATATTCACAATATTATTGTTGTCTTAAGCTTGCTTCCCCTGAGCCTTAAAGAAATCCAGAAAGATTCAGATATACCTAACCTCTTAAAGTAGTCCATTTTTTCCCTCAGTCTTAAAAGAGTCTTTCCCAATTCATTGCCGTTGTCGGTAGTGTTTTTTGTAAACCTGAAAGAAATTTGTTTTCCCTCTAATTACAAAAGTAAAACAGTGGAGTCCTATCATACATTCATTTAACTTGAATACATTCAACTATATACTTTTATGCTTAGAAAACCTTTTTTTTTCTTTTTTCATACAATATAGCATGTAAACACAAGCCAACTACTTCATCTAGTGCTTGCCCAGAAGAACAGTAATCTACACCAATGCTGGAGGAAGAATTGGAAATGTTGGATATTTTTGAGAGAAGATGGCACTGTGTATAAAATTATGTGTTCTGTATTTTGTGGGCTGTAAGACGGAAAGAGTGATATTTGACTACAGATAATCTTCACCTTACACAATAAATTTAGAACTTAATCCCTACATAAATGTAACTCCACTACATAAGCTATTTATTTTTAAGTGCAGAAAAACACAAAAAAATGTTTAAATCATTCATAAACCTACCCTGAGATTAATATTTACTGGCATAGAGTTCCAATCTTTTTATATGTAATATACATGCAGTGGGTTGATTAGTGTCCTATAAAAATTCATGTCAACCAAGAACCTCAGCATGTGACCTTATTTGGAAATAGGGTCTTGACAGATGTAATTAGTTAAGATGCTATCATAGTAGATTAGCGTGGGTCCTAAATTCAATGACTGCTGTCCCCATAAGAAGAGGACACAGAGAAACGGAAGAAGTTCATGGGACAGTTGGCAGAGATGGGAACGAAGCAGCTACAAGCCAAGGGACACCAAGGGTTCCCAGCAACAACCAGAAGCTAAAAGGGGCATGGAACAGACTCTCTCAGAGCCTCCAGAAGGAACCAACCTTGCCAACACCTGGATTTTGGACTTTTCATCCTCCAGAACTGTGAGACAATAAATTTCTGTTGTCTTAAGCCACCCAGTTTGCGGTAGTATGGTATGGTAGCCCTAAGAACGAGTACAATTTTATAGTAAATCATTATATGGGGCATAGTATTTACTGTTCTGCCCTTGATATACTGACCTGTGTCAATAAGTATCCTGCAATGTGATTTTTAGTACATAGTATTGGCTCATACGGATGTAATTTATTTAACCATGTACTTACAAATAGACATTTGGGTTTGTATATGCATTTTTTTTTTTTGCTTCTATCCCTAATGATATCCTTAATCCCTAGAAGTGAAAATACTTCCTCTCTTTTGAAGGATTTTGATTTGTGTTGCCAAGTTTATAATGATGCCATTAGTAGCAATTTATACTACCATCAGCAGCATACTTTTTGTGAATGCTCATTTAGCCCAAATCCTTACCAATACTGTGTATTGTCTTTTGAAATAATCTTTGCCAAATTAATAGGCAAAAATAATAACATCTTGATGCATTTTTAAATTCTTTTTCTTAGAACAAACAAGACATGAATATTACAGAAAATCTGGGGATGGGAAAGCACAAAGTAAACAAACCCCGAGAATGCTGAACACCCAGAGATAATGGTGAACTGTCGGGTTTTCTTTGCATATACATATATATTTTAATAAGAAGTTATACTGTACATATCATTTTGTAACCTTTTTTTCACTTACTATATAATAATCTTTTCATGTGATTAAAGAATCTTCCAAAACATTTTTAAGGACTTTCTCATTCTAATATATAGATGCAGCATAATTTATTTAATACCCAATTATTGAGCCCGTACACACACACACACACACACACACAGACACACACACATACACACACACACACACAGTGAAGGTCTCCTGTGATACACTCCTATAGCTCCCTGGATTTCATTTTTATAATATATTTACACTTGATAATTACTTGTTCTAGATCTGTTTTACCCAGGAGATCACGTGCTTTGTAAGGGCAGAGACCGTGGTTGTCTCATTCACTACTATATCAGTGATAGACAAAATACTTGACATATAGTAGACACTGACTAAACATTTGTTGAATATTTGAGTGGATGGGGGCTTGGATCTCTGGCTGAATAAATGAATGAATGAGTGAATGAATAATCAGACCCTAAGAGTCAAACTCATAGTAACCAATATTGAATTTTTATTGAGATATAATTGACATATAACATTGTATTAGTTTTAGGTGTATGATATGATTTAATATATATATGGTGACTATAGTGTATGACATGATTTTTTAAATATATATATATATATATATATATATATATAGTCATTATATACAGTAAGTCTCTGACTTACAAATGAGTTCCATTTCAGAAGAACTTCCGTAAGTCGGATTTGTTCGTAAGTCCGACAAAGTGTGTCTTACACACCTTTTGACACAAATATACAATGTAAAGCCAGTGGTTGAACGAGTCACGTTATAAGAACAAGCGACGTCTACCATTTTTTCGCCTTGGTCTAATCTCAATTATTTTCACTTTTGTTCCCATGGTTATTGCTTTGCGCTTTCTCTTGCTTTTGCACGTTCGTATCTGTGAAAGTTTGCAACTCGAATGTTCGTAAGTTGGGGACTTACTGTATATATTATATAGTGACATTACACAATAAGTTCAGTTAACATCCATCACAACACAAAGTTACAAAATTGTTCTTGTGATGAGAACTTTTAAGATCTACTCTCTTAGCAACTTTCAAGTATACACTACAGTATTGTTAACTGCAGTCACCATGCTGTACATTAGATCACCAGGACTTATTTATCTTAGAAGTTGGGAAGGTTGTACCTTCTGACCACCTTCACCCATTTTGCCCAACCCTCATCCACCAGCTCTGGCAACAAACAATCTGTTCTCTGTACGAATTTGTTATTTGCTTTGTTTTTAGATTCCACATGGAAGTGAGATCATACAGTATTTGTCTTTGTCTGAATTATTTCACTTACCATAATGCACTCAAGGTCCAACCTTGTCACAAATGGCAGGATTTCCTTCTTTATTGTGGCTATATATATATATATATCTATATATATATATATATATATGCATATATATGCATATATATGTATACACACACACATACACACACACACACACACCACATTTTCTTTATCCATTCATCTATTGATGAATACTTAGGTTGTTTCTTTGTCTTGGCTGTTGTAAATAATGCTGCCACGAACACAGGGGTGCAAACATCTTTTCAAGGTAGTGATTTTGTTTTCTATGGATAAATACCCAGAAGTGGAATTGCTGGATCATATGGCAGGTCTACTTTTAATTTCTTGAGGAACCTCCATACTGTTTTCCATAGTGGCTGCACAAATTCACATCCTACTAACTGCACAAGTGTTTTCACCACATCCTTGCCAACACTTGTTAGTTCTTGTATTTTTTATAATAGCCATTCTAACAGGTGTGAGGTGATATTTCACTGTAGTTTTCATTTGCATTTCCCTGATGATTAATAATGTTGAGCACTTTTTCATGTATATGTTGGTCATAGTATGTCTTCTTTGGAAAAATGTCTATTCATAGTGCCCATTTTTCAGTCAGGTTGTTTTGCTTAATTTTATTCTATTGAATTGTATGAATTCTTTATATATTTTGTATATTAACTCCTTATCAGACACATGATTTGCAAATATTTTCTCCCATTCTGAGGTTGCCTTCTCATTTTGTTGTTTTTTTTTTTTTTGCTGTACAGAAAACTTTTAGTTTGATATAGTCCGAGCTGTTTATTTTAGATTTTGTTGCCTTTGCTTTTGTTGTCAAATCCAAAAATTAATTGCCATGACTGATGTCAAGGAGCTTACCATCTATTTTCTGGGACTTATATGGTTTGAGGTCTTGTGTTCAAGTTTTAAATCCATTTGGAGTTGATTTTTGTGTATTGTGTAAGATAAAGGTCCAATTTCATTCTTTTGCATTCGGCTGTCCAGTTTTCCCAACACCATTTATGGAAGACTGCCTTTTCCCCATTGTATATTGTTCGCTTCTTTCTTGTACATTAATTGGCCATATGTGTGTGGGTTTATGTGCTCTCTATTATGTTGCAGTGATCTATTTGTCTGTTTTTATGCCAATACCATACTGTTGCTTATTATAGCTTTGTAATATAGTTTGAAATCAGGAAGTATGATGCCTCCAGCTTTGTTCTTCTTTCTCAAGATTGCTTTGGCCATTCAGGGTCTTTTGTGGTCAAGATTGATTTGAAACTCAATCATTAATGTCCATGCCCTCCACTCCAAGCAAGCCCCTCACTCATGGCCTGGTAGGCCTTCACTTGACACACATTTCCAGCTACCTCAGATACTTAGTTTGCAAGTACCTCTCTCCCTAAAAAGAGACAGGAGGAAAGGGTTATCTATCAACAGGTCTTATGGTGACCCCAGTGTAAAGAAACATTTTACAGCCTGAATGCAAGAAGGAAAAGAAAATGCACAAAATTGTTAGAAACGCAACAGTAAAAAGCAGTTGAGGGTGTGTATCCCAGTATCTACTCCCATAGGCCTCGTAGGCATCTTAAGGCTGTAATTGTTTATGACAGAAAAGGCTATAAGGGCATGTTTTTATTCCAGAGTACCAAGGCTTCCCTGTGTAGTAAACACAGCTAATTGTTTGTAGTTTATACTGTGGGTTGAATTTTTAGCAGGCGAATTCTCATTCAAAATAAGCAAAGCTGGTTGGAAGGGTAGACCTGCAGGGCTCATAGTGTCAGTCCATAGTGGACAAGAATACCTGACTGGAATTAATCACAAAATGCCAGTTAACTCAGGTCTCAAGAA